TAGCTGGGAGCTTACTGAACGTAGTCAGATACTTGTTTGTTTGATATGTGTAATTTTTTGTGATATAATTGGTTTGATTTTCACAATATAATTGCTGAAATCGATAAAAAAGATTGACAATCATTGGTAAGCATGGTCCTACAAGCCGACAATAACACGAACACACTGAAATTCGAGTACGTTAGTACGTATATAAAACGCACACATGCTCCAACCGTCGACAATCGTAGTTCACAAAGCGAGCGCCTCACACAAGAACCATCGCATCTGTACCATCTCATTTAGGCCTCGTCCAAATGGCCATACACTATAAATGCTGTGTATACTATTGAACTAAAAAAAATTACGCAAGCATAACTTTATATTCCTGAACGCTTGCTTGATTATTTTGTCATTTTATTTCATTCTTGTTACATAAGTCCTATGACTTACTTATCATCATTTTAATAGGTGATATGGATCTATAGACGCCTCAGAAAAAAACTGAATTAACTCCAATTAAGTCTATTGATAAATAAAAGGTAAAACAAAAAAGCCATCGATAAATTTATATAGTAATTGTTACAAAAATGGAGTTTAACCAATATATACTCGACAAAGTAAAGATTGTGAAGTATCAAAAAATATATTGCAATTTTTTTTTAATGAATTAGTTTTAAAGACGATTGCAATATATTTTCGATCAAGATAAACACGTCTGCGCCACTAAAGCATATGAAACAATATTTAGAATCTTGGGTCTATTGATATTGTGTATATTTTATTTTATAAACGAATTCGCTTTCGGTATTCCGTCTAATAAACAAATGTAAGAACACAATGACGGTGGTGTATTTGCGCATCTGTTGTTACTCGAATGATTCGATTTCATTCGATTCGGATCATATGAGTAACTCGAATGGTTCGATTCAATTCGGATCATGCCAGTAACTCGAATGATTCGATTCAATTCGGATCATGCCAGTAACTCGAATGATTCGATTGAATTCGGAACATGCAAGTAACTTGAATTCGGGTGGCTCCCATGATTTAATTATTTTTTTATTTTTTATTTATATTTATTATTATTGTTTATTTTTATATTATATATATATATAAAATGAATATAATGTTTATATAAATAATATATAACATAATTAAAATATTGTATTTATTATTATTATTATTTTGAACAGCATTCAGAACTTAAGAGTCCTATAAGCTGATGTGCTTTACTTAATACTAGTCGGTTCTACAGATATAGCAACCCAAACAGTTGTCTCATCTCTGTATGATCATTATTATTACTATTTCTGTAATAGGGCGAATTTTTTTTACTTGGAAAAACATTGCTATGTATATTTATAATTAAAAATTGTTGTCACTACTATTTGACAACAGGTTGCTGATATCGGGATCGAACTCGAGACCCCGGTTCTATGAGCGAGCCCAATTGTCAAAATTAAATTAAAAAAACATGTAAATTAGCTGTATAAATGTAATTAAATAATTACAGTACAAAAAATAATTATTATTGCTATAATATATTTATAATGTTTTTACAAGTCCAATGTTACAAGATCCCGATATGTGGACCTAGCCTACAACGCAGTACATGCAGCTTAGGAGAGAAGCATAGGCAGTTTAAATGAGCGTGGCAATAACATTCGTAACGCCGCAACATTTTATGTCATTAGAACAAAATATAGTAATGAATAGACGATACGGTGCAGTACATCCTTCTCAAATGAATAGACTAATTTGATTAAACTGAGAAGAACACAAAATTACAAATTATTTTATTCTCATTCATGATTACAAATTAGTTTCCATAATAGAAAATATAAGACACTGAATCTATCATTCAGGGTTATTTTCATGCAGTTTGAAATAAGAGGTCAAACTTTTCTTATCTTTTTCAATTAATACATTTTCGCAATTATCAATATAAAAAAGTAAAGTGTGCTTTCACAGAATTGAAACACGACTTTGTATTTTGGTTTAGTTAGTAATTCAGATGGTTTATGCAATAAAATCAAAGTTAAACATTTTCAAGTATATGTAAAAAATAATTGCTTATGGCATGTATACTTTAGATCTAATGTTAAAGGAATTGTGTAATAATAATATCAGTTTAATTTATATATTATGTTTATATTTTTGATATTTTTAAATTAAACTTTCAGTAAAATTCATAATATGCTTTATACTATATGATATATTTTTAGAAATATAATAACTTTCGAGTTGCTTGCCATTTATTGTACTTTTTTATTTAAAAAATTTATAGAAGTACACAATATGCAAAATCATATATTTGAAACATGAAAAATCTAGCAATAAAATAATTCCTACATATACAATAGTAAATATTGAAATGAAATGAATTAGAACATATAAAGAATACTGCAAAGTAGCATCTGCATTTAGAAGGAAAACCTTATAAAAAAATTTAATAACAAACAACTCTAATAATACACACAATACAAATTGATTTATACGTATGATAGGGCGGGGCACAAAGATTCAATTTGACTTTAACAAGTAAGTAATTATACTGCTTATACCAAATGAACTACATCATAACGCAGAACACATATCAAATAAACAACTACCATATTATGTCCAGTAAATTTAAATTATTCCCAGTTAATTCTTGAAGAAAAGTGTTTTTCACTATTTTTTTCAAATTTGTCATCTGTCCCTTTTTACCTCATGGACGGGGTAAAATGGAACAGCCAGGGTGCAAACAGATCCTATGTCTCAATTTTAATTTTAAAAGAATTTTACGAAATAATAGCTACAATACTCAACCAATGCAAAATATCAATTTAAAGGGCACATTTTTAATAAGGATAAGGGATCGTTCAAGTATTACGTAAGCAGATTTATTACAATTATTTACCCTCCCTCCGCTTTGTCAGCAAAAGTAAGCAAATTTCTTACCGAAAATAAGCAAAATAAGCGAGTCAATAACACCCCCGCCCCCCTATAGTGCTTACGTAATACTTGAACGGCTCCTAACGCTGTATATAACCTTGGTATGGTATTTCTTTAGAAATATTCATCATCGGAGTTGGAATTTAATTCAATTTATTTTTTGTAATTTTTTAACTTCCCGTAGGGTAAGTTATTGTAATGGGCCGAAAATCGGAATTGAAAATTTTTACATTTCTCGACGTTTTGAAGGTTTCTGAACATTTTGGCCTACTCCAGAAAAAATGGATGTGTGTGTGTGTGTATGTATGTATGGATACAAATTTTCGCCCACGTTTTCGGGCGTACGGATCAACCGATTTGAATGGTTTAAAAAACATTCGATTCCTATTGATAAGAAGATGTGCTGATTAGTTTTTGGCAAAGGCAGGTCTAGCAGTTACGGAGATAAGGAGCAAAGAGTGCAGAAAATAGAAATCGAGTTTTTGAGAGAACGGAGCATCCGATTTGAATGATCTAAAAAACATTCAATACGTAATGATTGGGAGAAGGGGTTATTAGTTTTTCGCAAAGACAGGCCCAGCCATTTCGGAGATACAGAGCTAAATGTACAAAAATGGCAGTTTTTGAGAGAACTAAGCGTCCGATTCAATTGATTCAATGAACTTTCTGCTTGTCTTGACAAAATAATTGATACTGGAAAAAAAAATTTTGTTTAATTTTTTTTTTTTTTTTTTTTTAATTTTTTGTATATCGAAAATAATTCAGATTTTATTTTTAATTCTGACTATAGTTCTAATATACTTTGAACAAATAATTTCAACTCTGCAATTCAGTTTATATAATTCTTATAAATATTAGACAATGTTACAATATTTATATTAATCTATTTGAAAACATTCAATATTCCTCATACATTTCGTTACGGTACGGAAAGTTCCAGCAATTTGCCTTAAGGCACGATGCCACCCACCCCACTAGTTTTAATTTATATTTTTATTTACTATTTTTTATTGTTTACGCCTTTGCCAGGGAAAAGGTTCAGTTGGTACTTTTTACCCTACGCACAAGCAAGCTTTTATAGAAATTATATAAAAAAAATGGTTGAATCTAACTTAAATTTAACAATACATCTTATAAAACTATTAAATAATATATACTTAAAAATTATATTAAGGTTTCGTAAACTAAACAACACTATTCGCAACCAAAAAAGCTACCAACGAATGAAAATAATTTTATTATTGTTCAACATTGTTGTTCATCTCCTGATAGCGACGTTGCTTTATTTAAGATGTTGGTTGGTTACAAATCTTATTCCCTCTACGTTCAAATATTGTTGTTAAAAAAATCCTAACTTGACTTGTTTTTGAGATATTTGTGATAGAGCTTTTTACCCGCGGACCTTTAAACACCACTCTACACTATCTCGTTCAACTTACAGCATCTTAAATTTTTATGAATGTATAAAATTCATTAGGATTGATGCGCATCAATCTGTTTGGCTTTGAATTATAGAGATCTATGAAAATGAAATAACAGATGCCGAGTGTCGAGTACTCGGCGAAGGTAAACGCTTCTCCGGTCGAACGAGGCGGCCGCGTCGTAGAGCGAGGTGTCCGTTTGTGTCCGCTTATGTCGGAGAGTGTACCTCCTCGAGCGTCTCAAAACTCAAAACACAAAACACAGCGCTGTGCGTCGGTACGCGCCAGTTGCTTTCAGCGTATCGTAAGCGCAGGACGCGTATCAGTCGCAACGGAACGGCTTTCGACGGGCACAATACACGTGCATCGTACCCGATGCGTACCATCGCACAATAACAATTTGGATTATACAAAGGAGAGTGTGTTCAGTGTTTGTTGACGACAAAGAGTGATTCTCTACGATCTTTGTTTAATATAAGTTTCTTGGTGCTAGAATAAGCGCGTGTTTATTAACTTGTTGTGTGTTTTCATAGTGTCGTTTTTAAATCATTTGTCATCGTTTTCATCTGACAAAGTTGTTACTGATGGGCGAAGGATAGAGTTGTAATTATTCGTTCATCATTTGAAAAATAATAACGTAAAAGTGTTTTTGTTGTGTGAATGCCTCACGTTGAAGGCAGCAGCGTGGAGCCGATGGCCAGTGGACTTGTGAAATGGTGGAGAGCCAAGTTCCACGGCGGTTACAAACAGATAACAGGTAATTACTTTTCTAGAGACTCTTTGATGTTTATTCTAGTAACGCACGTCCCTGCAGAAGACGGGGCCCGCGCGCCTTCCTGCCGGCACACTCTCTACTTTTTTGAAAGAACGCCGCACGTCCTTTCCTGCAGCCGGAAAATGTTAATCGAACATTGCGATTGCTATTTTATGACCTTACTAATATGACGGGAATCTCAGCCTGTTCGTAATTGAAACATCATTCCAGTCATGATCATTTGACACAAATTTTGTTGATATGTTTAATTTTGAAAACTATTCTGCCTCATTCCTACGAGTCCTGGCCGTTGAGATTGCGTTACCTAATCGTGATTTGCATATTTGATACATTTAGATGAATAAATTTCAACTAGATGCAGAACTTTCAATACATAGTTTATGAATATATTGATATTCAATGTTTTTATGCAAATTCCTTATCCTATATAGAGCAATAGGTATTTATTTGTCGGTTGACCAAGTTTCTAAATATAACAAATTTAGATTTTTCTTCAAAAATATACACTTCAATATTTAATTCATTAATTCATATAAGGTAGATCGGGCCTTAAAGATCTGCAGGTAAAAAGGACCACCAACGATATCTTAACTAGCTGTAAGTGGAATTCTATCTTGAGGCAATTATGGCATTGTACCTTAAGGCAAATTGCTGGAACTTCCCGTACCGTAACGAAATGTTCGAGGAATACTGAATGTTTTCAAATAGATTATTATAAATATTGTAACATTGTCTAATATTTATAAGAATTATATAAACTGAATTGCAGAGTTGAAATTATTTGTAAAGTATATTAGAACTATAGTCAGTATTAAAAATAAAATCTGAAATATTTTCAATATACAAAAAACTAAAAAAAAAAAAAAAATTGGAACAAATTTTTTTTTCCAAAATCAATTATTTTGTTAAGACAAGCAGAAAGTTCTTTGAATCATTTAAATCGGACGTTTAGTTCTCTCAAAAACTGCCATTTTTTACATATTTAGCTCCGTATCTTCAAAATGGCTGGGCCTACCTTTGCCAAAAACTAATAAACACTTCTCCCAATCATTACTAATTGAATGTTTTTTAGATCATTTAAACCGGATACTCCGTTCTCTCAAAAATTCGATTTCTATTTTCTGCACTCTTTGCTCCGTATCTCCGAAACGGCTGGACTTGCCTTTGCCAAAAACTAATCAGCTCTTTTCCCTATCAATAGGAATCGAATGTTTTTTGAACCATTCAAATCGGTTGATCTGTGCGCCCTAAAACGTGACTGGAAATTTGTATCCATACATACATACACACACACACATCCATTTTATCTGAGGTATGCCAATACGTTCAGAAACCTTCAAAACGTCGAGAAATATAAAAATTTTCAATTCCGATTTTCGGCCCATTACAATAACTTACCCTACGGGAAGTTAAAAACAAGTAAAGCCAAGAAATTTTTAACAACAATATTTGACAGTAGGGAAAAAGATATAACCAGCCATCACCTTGATTCTCAAGACGTCGCTATCCGGAGATAAACGGCAAAGTTTGAAAATGTATAATAAAAATATTTTCTTTCGTTGTTAGTTTTTTTGGTTGTGAGCACTGTTGTTTAGTTTATGAGACCTTAGGTATACGTATTTAATTGTTTTATAAGATGTATTGTTAACTTTAAGTTAGATTCAATCGTGTTTTTTGTATTACATCTATAAAAGCTTACATCTGAAAGGAGGAAAAAGCCCCAACTGAACCTTTGCCTTGGCCAAGGTGTAAACAATGAAAAATAGTAAACAAAGAAGTAAATTAAGTTTAAAATAGCAATTTTACAAGAGGTAAATTAAATAAATAGTTGTTCCAACTATGATGCTGAATATTTCTGACGAAATACCAGATCAAGGTTATATACAATGTTATCTGTGTAATCATGAAATTTACAAATTTTTGATAAACAACAAAAGTACACATTTCCACAATGATGAATTAGCTTAGATTTTTACTGAAAATAGTCAGATAGTTGTTCGTTTGATATGTGGTATTTATTGTGGTGTAATTGGTTTAGTTTTCAAAATATAATTGTTCAAAGTCAAATTGCACCATTGTGCTACCCCCTACTCTATATTATATGTCAAACTTTGCAGTTTTTTAATTGTCGCATATAAGGCATATATTATTTGAAGAGTCATGACGGTTAATACAGCACGATCAAAATTCAGTATCTTTTGAATTACTATTATTTTTTGTGATGTTTTGTTCCCGGCGCATTCACTTTTTCAAACTTCAATCGTCTTTGACATACATCCATGCCACTCGTGAACGAAATTAAAAGAATGATTATAAAAAGAAAATGGACAAATTACCGCCGACCCAGTGTTTCATGTGGAATGTTTCCAAGTAGCAAGTGCCAAACCAGAGTATACACAGTATAAGCTAGAATGCTTTGATCCCAGAATAGAGCATAATATCTGATCAGTCAACGATCTTCATTCATATAACCGATGCCCACTGCTTAGGAAATGTGTTCTCTAGCATTTTGTGTGGGCGATCCACTGCTATATCGGTAAATGATTCTAAATAGTAATATTGCTGCCCTATTATATATTTTTCATTTTTAACCTTTTCCCGCTTGCAATTATTACGACACGTGCATGTGGGCACTAATGTAATTTGCTCGATTTGTATCCAATACAAAACAGAGAATTCAAATCATTTTTGCTGTTTAAACTTAGCTAAGACTTTGCAAACAATTCTATTATTGACCTACATTGTGTTTTTAACCTCAAAAGAACAAACCACATCTTCAGTAACGGTCTAGATTACTTCATAGAGCTAATTGCATTAAAATAATAAGATTCGGATAATTGGACATTATAAACATTTATGCGGGTAATAAAAAAAACTTAGAAATATCGTAAAATAACATAAAATTAGATTTTAAAGTAATATTTTAAAAGCAACACAAAAATTTATATGATGATTAAATACTTTCAATGGATAAAAAATAGGGTAGGGCAGGGCACAAAGGTCCAATTTGACTTTGAGCAAATATATTGTATACCAACCCAATTATATCACAAGAAATAACACATATCAAACAAACAACTATCTGATTACGTTCAATAAAACTCACCGCTAATTCATTATTGTAAAAATGTGTTTTTTTGTTGCACCTTTTCAAAAACTTGTTTCATGACCTTTTTTACCCCACGGCTAAGGGGCGAACAGATACAATGGCTTATTTTTAGTATTAAAGAAATTTTATGAAATAATAACTGCATTAATCAACCAATGCAAAATATAAACTCCATGGATACATTTTTTACAGAGGGATCGTTCAAGTATTACGTAAGCAGATTTAGTACAATTATTTACCCCCCCCCTTCCCCTTTCTCAGCAAAAGTAAGCAAAGCTGTCACTAAAATATCACATAAATAAGCAAATCAATAACCCCCCCGCCCCCCTATAGTGTTTACGTAATACTTGAACGGCCCCAGAGATAACACTGTATGTAACCTGTATCTAGTATTTTGTCAGAAATACTCGTATCAGTAGTGTTGGAATATTTATTAATTTATTTTATCTGTTGAAAAATTGCTTCTATCTTTATTAATGTTTTATTTACTATTTTTTTATTGTTTACATTTGTGCTAGGATAAAGGTTCCGTTAGAATTTTTTCCAAATATTGTTGTTTATCTCCCGATAGCGACGTCGTAAGAATCAAGATGATGGCTGGTTATACATCTTTTTCTTTCTACTTTCAAATATTGTTGTTAAATTTTTTTTAACTTCAATCTTTTTTGAAATATTGTTGGTGGACCTTTTTACCCGCTGACATTTAAGCCTTGCTTTACCCCTGCCTACATTCACATACATTCAAATAAAAAATCTTTTGCTCAATAATATAAGATATTTTCATATATAGTATTCGTATTCATTTTCCAAGTAACAATAGATTGATAAACTATTTTCCTTATGTTGATGGTAATTTCCAGCATATAATTTATTTATAATTTTCATAAATATCTTATGTATATTTCGCAAGTGTGCATGCATAATCATCATTTCGGGTAAGCTTTCGAACAGTTGGAAAAGCACGTTAGGTTATTGAGTTTATTTAGTATGCGCTGCTGCGTTCGGTAACCGCTTTACATTAGAATTAAGACTCGGTGGTATCACGTACTTATTTAAGTTTGGCTACATATAGATCAAAGCTTTATTTTACGTACCGTTGACACCAGCATCCTTTCCATACACGTAAAATATTAACTTAGTACAGGTATGCGAATTATGAATGCATGTCAGTTGTGCGTTAGCAATTGGATGAAGAGAAACTATTGACGACAATGAATAAGGATTGTTGCTATCAATTGTATGGGATATTGGGATTTGTCAATCAGATCAATCACAATCAATTCTTTTCGGATACAAGATGTGTATACACATATAGTATAGTATATTTGAATGTCAGCGTTCCACTGTATATCCACAAAAGCATTTTAATAGATTGTATAATTTCACCATCGCGCTACACAATATAATTACATCAAACATCGTGGATCTGGGTATAATTACGTTAGGACGAACGATTATACCTTCTAACGTTGTACGACCGCGTTTGTTATGTAACTTGCTTTGATTACCCAAAAAAGATAGTGTTCCGAGAGAAATCCATCTCTGGTTTGGCCAAAGGCGAAAAATAAACGCTCACAAAACGAACGTTCTCCAATTTATTACACGCCCATACACAGCGACGGCACAACACACTTGCAACACGCATACATCATAATCGACTGCGAGTGTTTCCGCATAGATCCACACATACGTTGGCTTAGGGATGCCTGAAATGTGACAGACGTCGATCGTAAAGGATAACTAGCTGTAAGTGAAATTCTGTCTTAAGGCAATTAAAGCATCGTGCCTTAAGGCAAATTGCTGGAACTTCCCGTACCAAAAATTATTATTTTTTTTAAAAACGAATAACATTTTTGAAAAAAATTTACTTCGA